CCCCAAAACCCCAAAACCCCTTCAGCTAAAATATGAGTGTAAAGTTAATTAATTGGAAATATAAATAAGTTTAGTATATTATTTCAAATGGGTTAATCGCTTAGTTGTGTTTAGTGTTCTTGTTAAGACAAGAATAGCAACTATGATCTTGATAACTTAAATGAAAGTAAAAATTTGCATTATAATACTTATTAGACTCAAGTAGTGCAAGTAGTTTCTAGAATAAGAAAAGTGGATAATCTAAGCCTCATTAAAAATCAAAACAAAACTAAAAAAATAAGGTTGGGGTTAGAGAAGGGAAATAGGAAGTGACTTAAAAAATCATCTTTATTAACAACATTTAATTGGGAAAAGACTCCACTGAGATTTAGGCTGTACAAGAAAATAGCAAAATTTAAATAAATTTAATGCATGATAAAATCTAATTAAACTCTTAAGATCAAATGATCTAGAACCCTAGAATACAAATCATTGTTGAAGAAGATAAGAATGATGGCAGAGTGTCTGAGAGAGTGAGTTATTTTCTTGTTTATTAATGATAATTTTAGTAACATCCAGCAGTTGGAGCTCCTTAAAAATCCCCGAACCATTTACTTAATATGAAACTTGATTCTGATATGATATCGAGGAGTGATTTTCAGACATCTTAACCTTCACTTCTAGCGGTAAACAGGGAAGCAGATAACAACAATCAAAATCGCCTAGGAGTGAGGCCGATAAGTCATTTGAGAAGATTTTAAACAGATAAAATGATAATGAATTACTACTAAATGATTAAAGTTATTGGCAAAGGTAAGTACACTCTTCAGTAACTGAAGCACTAGAAATGTGCTAAGACCTCCTTAACTATACTGACTTTGATTAATTTTAAAACTTGCTTAATATTGAACAGCTTCAAATATTTAATAGGATCATTCGGTGAAGTTACAAAAGCCAGAGATTTGAGAACAAATAAATACAGGGCAATTAAAAAAATCAAAAAATCTGCCGTTTAAAAAGCTGGTGCTGGACTAGATAGAGATAAAGAATATGAAATTCTCATTAAGCTTGTAAGTCAATTTCTTTATTACCATTGGATATCTCTGACTAAATTTCATTTAGAATCACGTAAATATTGTTAAACTGCTTGAGTTTTATCAAGATGATGATTATTTCTATGTAGTAACTGAGTAAAAAATTACTACACTAATCTGATAAACAAAAATTATATTATAGATTTTGTGATGGAGGCGAGCTATTTGATCAAATCACTTAGTGCGGTAATTACAGTGAGAACATGGCAGCAGACATTATAAGATAAGTCTTATCAGCAGTAGTATACTGTCATTAGCATAACATAGTTCACAGAGATTTAAAGCCTGAAAATTTATTATTGGAATTCAAAAGATAACCTAATGAAGACAATAATGTAAAAGTTATTGATTTTGGCACATCAATAGAGTATAATCCAAACCAAAAATTAAGAGCGAGATTAGGTACAGCCTATTATATCGCTCCAGAAGTACTCAAAGGTGAGTATGATGAGAAATGCGACGTTTGGAGTTGCGGAGTCATTTTATATATTTTACTTTGTGGATATCCCCCATTCAATGGGGATACAGATCATTAAATTTTTGACCGTATAAAAGTTGGAAAGTATCAATTTCCATCACCTGAATGGGATAATGTATCTCAAGAAGCTAAATAACTAATAAGAAAGATGCTTGAATTCGATCCCAAGTAGCGAATATCAGCGCAGGAGATTCTTCAGGATGCTTGGATTCAGAAAAGTACTAAAAAACAAGAAGTAAAGCCATTAAATCTAAATTCATTAAAAAACTTATAAAATTTTCACTCTGAGAGGAAGCTTTAAGCTTCTATTTTCTAATATATTGCAAACTAACTTATCTCGACTGATGAGGAATAAGAATTGAGAGTAATATTTCAAGCTCTTGATGCCAATGGTGATGGTGTCATCAGTAAAGACGAGCTAAGAAATGGAATTGATGTCTTCCGATCTAAATTTGGAATGGAGGGAGAATTCAATAACATCGATGATCTGATTAAAAGGATAGATATTGATGGTAGTGGCAACATCGATATTAAAGAATTTATAACTGCTACCATGAATCTAAAAGATGTGATTAACGGCAAGTAATTAAAGCAGGCATTCGATCTATTTGATATAGTAAGATATTACAGATATTAATACATTAGGATGGGAATGGGTAAATTACTAAGAAAGAACTGTAAAGAGTTTTAGGCGGTGTCTTGAAATTAACTGACTCTCAATGGGATGACTTCATTAAAGATATAGATATTGACAAAGATGGAACTGTAAGCTACTCATTTGGATTTAACTTAAAAATATAGATTAACTTTGAGGAGTTCCGTATTATGATAGCTAATCTGTCTATAGGGTAAATTGATGATGTGCAGTGATACAGTAAGACATTTGAAACTTATGACTTGAGGATTGATTCTACATTATTAAATTAAGAACAGTCTTTTGTCAATAAATACTATAAAGTAATCCTAAGTTAGCATCTCTTAATATCAATATTAATGATTTTAATAACACATTTCAACCCTTATCTCCATCCTTGTTACAGTCAAAATATACTACATTCCAATTCTCCCCTCTCTTTATTTCCTTTGAGCTCTAAAAAGCTTACATCTACTTTGACTTTTCTTGGTTGATTTTGCCTTTATAATTTGGTTTATTAAGCTTACTAAGGATGTTTTTACTACTAATCTATTTCATGCTCATTCAACCATTATCTCATTTTCCGTTTTCTGATAAATCTTTAAATTACTATTACATGCTTAATGAGCCTATGCTCCAAGATAAAGTCATATATATCTCTATATACCAGAGGTACCCTCTTAAGTTTCTCTCCTGCTTACTCATAGAAGTAATTATACTCTTCTTCCATAAGTTTTTCCCACCACTGCTTCTTTCTAGGCTTAGGTAAATCTCTGAGCATCTTATTTTTGTAAAACTTGTATTCAGAGCAGGCTTTGATCATTTGGAATGGCGATTTTAAGACTTTTGTCTTGATTATATTGCTAAATTTATTTATTGCCTAGCGTTTCACAAGTCTATTCAGAATTCTCACTTTCTCACTAAAATCAACCTTTCCTTTTGATTCCAAATTTTTATGCTGACTCTAGAGTTAGTCCAACTCTTATTACCTCTTTTACAATACTAGCCTGAGGTTTTGAATCTTTTCCTATTAGCTAATAATGAGAGAATTAGCTGTAATAGTGAGATTCTTAGCTGCAGTAGAGACAAATTTAGTCTCTCTGCGCCATCTGTCAAATGCTTCTTTCCTCATTCTTGTCTAATAAGTCAGAAATTTCTACTTTATTATCATAAACATCTTTTTCTTGATCTGATCTTGCTCAATTTATTGCTAAATGACAGGATCTTGCACTTTAATGGCATTTTATTCTTCCTCTTTTATCTATCTAATTTTATTTGATTTATTAATGTACTCTTATATCTACTTCCTCTCATTAGTAGTTACTAATTGCTATTATAGATCATTTGTTTATCTCTATTGATTCTATTCTTAATTTGGACTTTTGATATCTTGATTATGCTTTGAAAACTCAAAAATTTCTAGGAATATATCCTCTTTGTACCTATATTAGAAACTCTCTATTACTTTGATGAGAATTGTAATTTTTCTCTTTTGAAGTTTTAATTTTCTATTCATTAAATTATCCTATTAAATTTATTTTCGTAATTATAATTGCACTGAGGGGTTTTGGGGTTTTGGGG